CCCCCCCCCCCCCCCCTAAAGCAAATTTTTTTTCATCATATGTTTCTCAAGATCGATTAAAGGAGAGTGGGAAGAGTAAAAAAAGGAGTTATTTAGAACAGGGGAAAAACGTGTTCGAACCAGTTAATGCTAAATTCAACCTGGCAGCGATCTTGAAGCACTTTCTCCCTCTCCATCTCAGCCTTACTCTTCATTTTCCTCTGAAATCAGAAAATTTTTAAATCCAATATTTTCTTTATTCGTAAAGTTACCTTAATAACTGGGGTTCTATGTGGTTTTAGTAATTAAAAGCTAGAAGCCAGATTCGATTGATTGATAATCGTTTATTTCTGAGTGCCTTATGTCTGGCACCTTAATTCTGAAAGCCAGATTAATTGCATTAAAGTACACTTCACAGTGCGCTTGAAGGACCTCTAAGAAATAAGAAAAAGCCCATGTGACCTTTTATGAGATTCTGAAAGTGTCCATCAAGACAAACATTTTGCGATATGTTAGCACTTTTTCCTAGGGAGAATTTTCGTGCAATTCGCATATTTGCAAACTATTTACAGTTGTATTTCATCCCACAGAAGACCTGCTTAAAGTCCAAGAGCTTTTGATTTCTCATGCTCCAAACCTTTCTCAATCCGTTATTCTCTAGATATAAGAAAAATCCCATGTAACTTTTAGAGATTCTGAAAGAGCTCCTGGTTAATACAAGATATTGGAATTCTTGAACGAGTCCAAAAAAGAGCTGTCAATTTCATTGTTGGTCTATCTGGTCGAACATATGAAGATAAACTTCGTGAACTAAATATGTCCTCGCTTGCTGAACGTCGAAAAAAATTTGACCTGGTACAAACTTTTAAGATTTCGAATGGTCATGACCGAGTTGATTCCTCAATTTGGTTTAAAACTGTGGGAGATATTGCTAATCGACTGACAAGGAACACTGCCTACAGTAAAAATCTTGTTGCAACTAGATCCAGAACTGATATCAGAAAAAATTTCTTCTCTAATAGAGTTATAAACCTCTGGAACAATCTTCCAACAGACGTAAAAGATGCCAGAACAGTTAAACTTTTCAAGGCAAGACTTGAAAAAATTAATCTGTAATCTTAATTATGCCATCAGGATCAGTGTAGGCGAGGTTAATTCTGAATCTCAGATCAGACGAAGCACACTGTTCCGTGAGGACTAAACCGACATCTGCGCTATGGACCAAGAGGCCCTCTGCAGATTATTCTACAAGTAAACAAGTAAGTAAAGAAGAACATTATGCTATATGTTAGCACTTTTTCCTAGAGCGAATTTTCACGCAATTCGCATATTGGCAAAATAATGATTTATTTATTTTATTCTTCAGCTATTTACATGGAAACATTAACTTTTAACATCCTGAAAAAATACCCGAATTTAGATGTAGAATACTGAGCCTTTCTATACTATTCCATCTTAAACCTTTCCCCTTATTCTTTATCCTGAGCCTTTCTGTACATTATTTTAGACCTTTCACCTTATCCTTTATCCTGAACCTTTCCATACCCTTTACTATAGACCTTTCCCCGTATCCTTTGTTCTGAACATTTCCTTTTATTTACTCCTGCCCTTTCTTAAAAACTTTTTTCTTACCAATTCTTTTAGTTCTTAAGCTTTGAGGGTTAAGGTTTGTTGTAAAACTCCTGAACTTTAATTATTTTTCAACTCCTAACCCTAACTTCATCCTTGACTCTAAACAGTTCCACATCTTTAACGCTTGACCTATCCTTTTTATTTAACTCTGAACCCATTCACGTTCTTTAGGGTTTAAAGTAAAGGTTTGATAAAATAAATGGTCATGTCCAAAATTGATTGGAGGGGCTCGGGGGGGTCCAAAAATCGTCCACTAGGACAGACCCGAGTAAATGATAAGAGGAAAGGTCTAGAGTAAATGATAAGGGGACAGGAATATGGTGTATAATGGGGTATAGAAAGGATTATAGAGGTCCTTCAAGCACACAATGACTTTCTGCTATTTTCTGAAATCTCATTCCTACTGTATGAACGTCCCGCGATAATTATGCATAAAACAGTAATAACTATAATATTGGCATGGGTGTAAGATATCAAATTTGTCTTGAAAAACCAAGAACAACCATCAATGAATAAATTCAGACATCGTGACCCTTTCACAGCAAGCCCCACATTTAAAAATGCGTAAAATCTCAAAAATAAGAAAACACATTTATGCACCACTAAAGTGTATCTACTGTTGTACAGCTTAGCAGCTTTTCTCAATACATATTACATACGCATGAGCTGTACGAATTTATGAGATAATTTTTAACATTTTCTTTATCAACAGCTGATTGGAGATAAATTATCACGGAACCTCGAATATATAAGGATTAAGGTTTGGACTCACAGTACGGTGGGTACTACGGAGGTGGTGGATTCTCATTTGAACTACTCCCGTTTGAACTATTGTTCGTTTGAACTTTTTTGTTCACTTGAACTACTGACATGACGTCATATCCTGTAGTTCAAATCAACACCTTACTTGCTCATTTAAACTATTTTTTCTGCTGATTCAGTTTTTAAATTATTTTATCTTTATATAAATTTGGCTTGCTGTCTGTTTGTGTCCAATAAAAGTCAAAACGGCTGAACCGATCGGGCCCAAATTTTTTGTGGGACATTTAGGGAATCCAGGGAAGGTTTATGAATCATCAAAATTTCAGGTGCTATCTCATTTGAACTACTGCCGTTTGAACTATTGTTCATTTGAACTATTGTTCATTTCAACTACTGCACGTGGGACCACGTGAGTAGTTGAAATGAACAATAGTTCAAACGAGTAAATATATTGCTCATTCGAACTATTTTTTAGTTCATTAAACTATTTTCATTTGAACAATTTATTATTATTTTAGGGTTAGGTTAAGTTAAGCTCATTTCTGGGCCGAGCGCTGCGTCTATGGATCCGGGCTAGGGGGCCGAGCGCAGCGGCAAGGAAAGACCTCTATATAATTCAACAATTTTTAATAAAATTAGTGTATAGGGTTAGGATAGGTTGAGCTCATTTCTGGGCCGAGCGCTTCGGCTAGGACAGGCTGGGGACCGAGCGATGCGGCTAGGGGGACGAGCTCTGCGGCCACATAACCAATACTAATTTGCTGAAAAAAATGGTCATGTACAAAATTGATAGGTTCTATTTTCATGTCTATTTGAACTATTTTCATGTCCATTAGAACTACTTTTATGTCCACGTGAGTTTGATCGAACAATTAATTGTTCAGTCGCACTATATTGTGCGTATGAACGTTCGTCCGAATGTACGTTAGTCCGATCAATCATTAGTGCAAACGATATTTCTGATTTCACCTGGGTTCGATGCTACAGCTGATTACCAACATCAAATTAGACCGTCAATAGGTCTATAAATTTGGATTTCGGGGACATTATCAGAAAAGTTAAGAATAAATCATTTCGAAAGTTTAATAAGGCTAATAGAATTTTTTGTTTGCATAAAATGCTAGATTTTTCGAGTATTATGTGCGTATTATGGCTTTGATTGATCGTTTATTTCTTCAAGCTACTGGAAGAGGAGAGGAAGGCCAGCCACAACGATTTCTCGTCCTAGCCACATTCGCCTCATTTTCTCGTCCGAGCCACCTCGAAATCCTCGTCCTTCGCTTATTCTGTGTTTTTAAGTTTCTAAATCTTGAAAATAAAGCTATTTTTTAAAAATCAGGCCACGTTAGGGCATAAAATATGGATAGACTTAAGTATTGCAATGATTACATTATGTTGAAATCTTTAAAGTCTTAAGAATGATGTCAAACTTTATTTAGGTGAAACTTAAATCTCTTCTGCCTCCGTAATGGCTAACCTTCGTGAAACAAAATAAATAGCAAAATATTTCGCATACCTCTGCCTATAATTTTCCCCATGGAACCACCCGAAACCGAAAAAAATCTATGGTTTCCGCTAAAATTAACAAAAAAAGATCAAAGTTCTATAAACTTGGAATTATTTGCGGCATTCTATACCTAGATTATCTGAAAATGCGCGTAAGAAAGGTGAATATTTTTCAGGACATTGCACTCAAAAACTTAAATTCTATTGAAGGTATTTCTTTCTATTAATTGATTTTGTATTTTTTTGCTTCGATTTGAAAATTACTTTTTTACTTCATAAACAATTAAAAACATTTTAAGATGGCTGGGAACGTTAGATTTTAACTAAAAAAGACGACTTTTGTTCGTTTTCACCAAGGTTGATTGCTCTTGATGCGCTCTGATGTCGTCTCTAATGATAACAGATAAAAACCTCATATGACGTCATTTTACAACCTTTGTTGTTTTCCTTTTAACTATCCCCATGGTTACACCATCAGTTAATCCGATTCTATAAAATAAATTACACCTTTAAAAAGTCCATTTATAAAAATTTGTTTGAAGTTCAACTTTAATTGCAAATTTCATAAACATTTATGTATAAAATAAAACTTATTACATCGTTTTTATGTGACGCTAGTACGTACACAGCGCAAAATAAGATAAAATATATAAAATAGTGCGAGCACTAATTTCGTTGCCAGGTTTACACTAGAATACAAATAGTAAAATAATTAAATAAATATCCCTCAATGTTTTTTTTGGAAACAGTTTTTGAATAAAATATACTTTTTTCTCTACAAACTAAACCCTCTTAAAGATATTTACTCAGCTCTGGCTGGTTTTAAAAATCCTGTTTTTCATAAGCTTTCAATCATAACAATTTATGGCTTTCAATTGCTCCAGACAGAGTAAAAAGTTGCAATTTGCTCAACGGATTAAAACTGTGGCGCATCTTGAAAACCAAAAATCAATGATTATTAAAAAACAGATGACCTAAACAGGATATGTTCATTGCCCTAAACTGGCAGTCAAGATTTCAAAATTAAATGTTTAAGAGCTGAAAAAAATGCTTGGAAACACTGGATAAACATAATAAAACTGGAATCAGACACTGGGATATTTAAATGCAATAGAAAACTGGTACAATACATTATGGTGGGTAGTTACAATGAGCTCCAGCTAATACGGGGGGGGGGGGGGCAGGGGTCCATAAAAGTTTTAAATAAAGAACTCGAAAATATTGCAAGAGCTTTGAGTTTGGAATGTTAGTTTTTATGCCGTTTTTCCGCCATGATTCTTACATAACGATGGACAAGCTTATAAGAAAACATTACTCAAGAGCAGGGAAAAAGCTAGGAATGGCATTAAGGTTGTTTCATTTACCCCTTACCAGATCCGCCCGGATCTAGTAAACTGAAATAATTCTACGATAGCGAGTTTGATAACAACAAGCCACTTAGAATTTGAATCACAATCAGCAGGAAATATTTGGGTTTTAATTTTTAGGATTACACTTATGATATTCCCGGATTGGACTGCTTAGAGGTTTTATTTCCCCTTTATGGCGGAAAACCACTTCCCTGAACAAATTTTAAAGTATGACGGTCGCGCATATTATGACCTTAAGATTTACAAACAGAAGATTGGACCAGAATTCAAGTCATCCCCTGAATAACGGATATGCAGTCCAGATAGTTCCTGGTGTCAGGGTTATATCTATCACAGAGTTAGATGATGTTTAAATATTTAATAAAAGAGCATTGTTAACTCTTCTCCATCACGGTTATCAAACCGTGGATAACAAGAATATTAATTAAGTGTCTTTCCAAGATCCACTGATCAGAGGCGTCTTTACAGGTTCCTATCACGTGACTGTATTCATCACAGAGAATTCTCCAGTGTATTTCTAGCTGCAGTTCTGTCCCTTCAGCCCCGGGTTCATTTACAGCCCGGAGAAAAGAATCCTGTCAAAACTATTGTCTCTGACAGATCAAGCAAAGTTAGGAAAACTGTTGACCTCTCCAAGGTCGGAGATTGGAATTCCACCAACACTGAATGCAATCTTTAGCTTCATCCTAGGGAAAAGGCTTAAGTTAACACACACAAAAAAAAACAAGAAGGGGGAAGGAAGGGGGCAGGGAAAACTGGTCTAGTGAACTCGTGGTAAAGTAAATCTTTTCCCAACTTTTGAACAAAATTACAACACTATAGAATCCCTGATATTTACATTGCAACCCTAGGGATGCAATCTAATTATTTGCATATTTTTCTGTCAAGAAGTTGCGGGTTTACAACTCCGAAAACATTAATTAGATTTGATTTCTTAACTCAAAAATATGTGTTACAGAACTAAATAGATTTTACAGTTTTTAAACCCTAAAAAATGGTAGATTTTGAGGTAAATTAAAATATTATGGTTTGTTAAGAAGTGGAAAAATCTCCTTTTATTATTATCCCGAAAAAGTAGATGTACACAATTTTATTGTCTTTTGAGATGAAAATGCGCAATATTAAATTACTATTTGAGATCGATGGTGAAACTAAATTACCTGAGAACTGCGTTGCTAGGATTATTAACAACCATCTGTTGAGTAACTGATCCTCCTGACGGGATTGTAGATGATGATGGAGGATCCAACTGCAGCTGCATGGATTTCGGTACAGCAGCCTAAAATCAAAACTTCCATAGACAAAATATTTTCATAACGAGCTCAGTCGATTCCCTTTCTTCCCTAGCGGTTTAATTTAAGTCCTTCATTTTGATAGTTTACACAATATATATCAAGTTCAGTTGATGTGGCTAAATACAATCCCAGCCAAACGTATAAGATTAAAGAATGATAAATAACTGCCTTTAATTTAACCGAAAGATAAACAGTTAAATATTTTACCTGGAAAACAAAGTTGAGAATAGGTTGCGGAGTAAGGTTGTGTGCATACAGTAAGATCGATGATGCACCCGGAGAACCTGAACCCGGAAACGTGAACTGGACCCGGAGACCATGTTTCTCATAAGCTGTGATTGGAAGAACCTGAGAGGACGGGGTAGCGAGGGACAATGTATCCACACCGTTAAGAAGGCCGTCTAAACCTAAGGGCATACTGCTTGGTCCTAAGGATGTTAGATCAGGACCTCCTAAACTATCCAGGAGGTTTAAGGAGTTACTGTTCTGCATGGCAGTTACTGAAGGTACCAGATTAAGGCCTAATATATCGTCTAATGAGTTTGAAGAGGGAGCTCCACCAATATCTAGTCCTCCTCCTAGGAGAGTCTGACCACCTACAGGCGCTGAGAGATCAAGGTCGAGAAGTTCAAGTAGAGGATTCTTCTCTTGAACTCCATTATGTTGGGGACCTACTCCATTCACCTAAATTTTAAGATATTAAGGATCGAATTGATCACTAAATTAGCATGTAGCAAATTTATCTTTCATTATTTCTTATATTATTTGTTCCTTTTAACCTTCTTAAATAGTGATGTAGATAATGATTATAAATACTAATCTATTTGGTTGATTTACCATCCTTTCAACTACTTAATCTAACTTTTACAGATCACAAACTAACCTTTGGCATTGGAGTTGTCGGTGAATCTTCCAATCTGTCCTTTTCCTTTTCCATCGGCGGCATTGGTTCAAGCAGTTTTGATCTTAATCCTGACTGACTCCTGAAACAAGTTAAATCAACTAAATGGTTTTAGTTTAGAGAATTAACAAAAATAACATTCTTTGGACTCTGTTAACAGGTCAAAATATTTTACTTCTTTCCAACCTATCAAGTCAAACTTATTTACAAAAATACTGGGCAGCGCCCATCTTCTAAATTACAATTGTGAACATGTTCTATTTATATACATAAAAACACCGTGGATTTTTAAAGTTTTCAAAAATTGAATTATGTTAAGAGACAAATTTTTAAAAATTCGATCATCGATAACCCTGTGGTCACGCGAGGTCCCACAAAAATCTGGGCCGCATCGGTTTAGCTGTATTGACGTTTATTGGATACAAAAAACAAACACCCAGACAGACAGACAAGCAAAGTATATATTTAGATAATTTTACTGTTTGAGGTCGAAATCTATTTTAGTCCATTCCGAAAAATTATGATGTCCAGTTTATTAATCAGAAATAATATTGCAAAATCTAGATCATGGCAAACCTATTAGTTTTCCGATTAAATACAAAAAAAATTTCAACGTGCTTTTTTCTACTATTTCAGCCATATTTGGTTCTATTTTACCTGAAAAGTTGACCCAATTCTACTCCTCGCTGCTGAAGGTCAATGTCTATATTGGTTCCAAAACTATCGATGGTAGATTGAATTTCCTGAACATAAAATCAAATAATTTCCAAATCTAAAACCATTGCATTGAGAATCTATTACTCAATTCAATTTAATTTAATTCATGAAGCTAGGGAGGTGTCCAATAGCTCCTTGACCAATGGGGGGCATGCTATCGAAAAGTTTAACTTTTGCGTTCAGAATTTAATTTTAAATAATAAAAAACTTTTACGAATGTTAAATATAAATCACAAGAGCAAACATTCGAAAGATAACAATTTAAAGCATGTTTTACGCATTTTAACTTGACAAATTCTAAAAATATAGTTTTATTTATTTATTATTGATTTCTTCCTGAATGACTGAATTGAATCTGGTGGATAGTTTAGCTAGGGAGAGTAGAGCGTATTGTTTAGTTACTACGGAGATGGATGAGGAGGAGAGAAGAACCTGGAACCAGGAGACAACACGTCCTTCACTTACAGACTCACCTCCACCTACAACCTCATCACACCTCTCTGAAATATAAGATTTTGACAATCTTAACCCTGGGACCCCTCTCCTAACGTTTTTTGGAGATGACTCAAAAGATAAAGGTCTGAGGCTGTTCAATTTTTAAAACGTTTCAATCTAACGCATGCCCTTACTTTACGCTGAAATCGGGGCTATTAAACCTAGTACCTACTGCCCGAGTCCTCAGGCATACTGCCTGAATGCCTTATTTTACCTTTACCAGATTATATCTATCTTTAGATCTACAGACCTACTTCCAGTCATGGGATTTCGACATTTTATTGCTCTTTAAAAAGCTTTGAATAAAGGAAGGAGATTCAAAAATATTTTTGCAGATTCTAATTTGCCGTGTCAAGGACTTTACAAAGCTGTACTCTTTATAAAATTTTGCACATTTTTTGCTGAATAACATGATAATGCGATATCTATTTGAAATTTTGCACCCCCCACCCCCACCCCCAAGACCATTTTGGGTAAAGGAGACGTCAGCCTGAATCGAGTTAAAAAGCTTTTTTTTGTGTGATATAATTCGTTCCTATGGTGTTCTCTTACTAAGTCTTATTTTTTTCAAGATTACCTTTTCAATTTTCATAAACCGTTAATATATTTTTTAATCTAGATTTTGAAATAAAACTGGCCGCGTAGCTAATCTAAATATAAATTTAACTTGTCTGTCTGTTTGTTTGTATTCAATAACGTCAAAACGGCTGAACCGATCGGGCCCAAATTTTGTGTGGAAACTCACGTGACCCCAGGGAAGGTTTATGAATGATCAAAATTTTAAAAATCCGTGTTTGAAAGTTTTTTTTTTGTAAAATTTTGAAAATAAGCGGAAAAATATTATAAAATCCGCAAACTTTTATTGTTTTTGTTTTATACTGTACAAAGAGAAGATGCTCACAGATAAAGCCACAGTTAAAAGTTGAAATAGAAGATGGGCGCTAAAAGCCTAGTATAAGTAGATTTTAATATATTAAAAAACTTACCCAGCAAATAATTTCCGTACTCTCCGATACACCAGCACCCAACCTATATGGCAATCAATCAATCAATCTATCAATCAATCTAGCATTATCTCATTCAAATAAAAACAGAATCCCCCCCTCCAAAATTTGTTAAGTTTATTTTATGAGATAATAAGGCATGTGAACTACCGGGCACATACCTGTGTCAAGGGTTGGAACTCACTGCAATGTTTGATTTCCATCAATGCTTTCCAGGCCAGGTGTACGGTGTACCTCTGTAAAGTACAATTTATGCTATATGTATATTATACACGTGCACTGTACAGAAAAAATTTTTAAGAAGGGTTTTAATTGGGGAAAATAAATGATTTCTAGGGAAAATCCATTTTTGGGTAAGATTAGAAAAAACGTTCCATTTTGATGTCCAATTTTTCTTTTTTCCTCCACAAATCATCAAAAATTATTTTTTTATTCTGCATACAATACACCCCTGTCTTTTTAAATGAATTGATATTGATTTCCTACCTGCTGTTCTGGACTACTGCTGATAATCTGTATTGTATTGAAGACGACATCATCACGAACCATATTCCCGCTCTCCTCCAACACCTTCACGATTGTATCAATGTGCCACCGCCGGTTCGGAGAATACTGATCCGCCGCTAGCATCATATTACTAGAGCAGGACTGTTTGAAGTCAGGATCCGCTGTGTGAAGAAACTGGATCAGGTCCTTGCTCATCAGCTCGATATTCGTGGAGTTAATGAGCGCAAAGCAGAGTTCCATCGCGCGCTTCTTTATTGTAACATCCGGGTCCTTGAGACAGTCGAGGATTGTTGCTCGATGTCGCTGAACAGCCGCGTGATCGACAGCAACGGTCTTGAGAAGGGTGTTGAGGGCGACATAACGTATGTTTTTGTCGTTGTTAAGAAGAAATCGACCGAGAATATTAACCGCAAGTACTCTGAAATAATTCAAATAAAAATAAAACAATTTTAAATTTCTAAAAACAATGCTAAAAGAATGAATGTTCAATATTTATTGGAATACCTGAGTCCTGATTCTGAATCAATATCCATGATTGAAAGAACGGTTTCGTATAGAATAGCATTTCCTACGTTTTTACTCGTCTCTGTGTTTGTTGCAACCTGGACATGATTTTACGAATTACGATAAATCGCTAAAATGCTGTTATCTCATCTTAAAAGAGCAAAATATCCGGAACACCATTTGTAACCGAATCTTGTAAGTTTTATCTAGTTTATTACTTATTATTGTTGTTTGTATTATTACCTGTGCTAAAATATCGTTCATAGTTTCTGATGTACTCGGATCATTCCTACCCAGTATCCTCAGAAGTTTCAGAACCTACAATATATTCACTACAAATTGTCATTAAACAAAAAAAAATTGAATCATATTGTAAGGTGAATAAAATTCATTCATATCCGAAAATCTTCTCGGATTTATAAAATGGTTCGGATTTATAAAATGGTCTAAACGAAATATTAAAATAATTGAGCCCTTTAAGTCTAATCTACGTATAGTCTGTTTTGTGTCCAATAAACGCCAAAACGGCAAAAACCGATCAGGCCAACCTTACATTGAAAAAGATGTTGGAATTAAAATATTTGTCTCGAAAATAATTCGATGAAAACAGGTAAATCTGCCATTTTTTTATTTATTATACTAAAAGAAAAAATAGCGACTTGCATTTAGAAGCTACAATTGTTGACAAAAAGCCAAGTAATACAAAATAATAGTTTACACACAGATTACGGATTAAAATGAAAGCTAACCTTAATTTGCAGAAACGGATCTGATATCCCGGAAACATCATGTTCAGGAGAATACCCAGACATTATCAAGTTCTTAATATATTCAGATACAATGCTCAATATAATTCAGGATTAAGTAAAAAAAATGATTTCAGTTTTCTTGACAAAAGAACCTTCCAGACAGTCTGTTTACCTTCAGTATTCTGACAAGGTTTGGGACAACACGTTTAAAATGATCTAGGGTATCCGGAGATCTCTCAGTTAGCTCCGTGATCAGAACTATCCCTGTGATCAGGACTCCGTGATTCTTCTCAGAGAGAAGTGACCTAAACAATGAAGATGGGTTGTTTGTTTGTTAGTTGTTACTGATTTTTTTCGTTCACTTGATGGCTTTATTCCCTTTTTAGCTTCGTTACAATATTGATCGGCCCTCGTTAAAAAAATATTTTTTTTATTGCTCTCCTCGAATAATTGGAAAATCTGCAAACAAATTGATCCTTACATTTTATACTGAAAAGATTCAGTAAAAATTCACAATATTTCTTGTAGAGTAAAACAGGGGTATATATAATATTTTTGAAAAATCATTCCCAACACCCCTATAAGCAAATTTTTTCCCCGTAGGTCACTCTTAAAACTCTGAGAATGATTCGACTCTCGGGGGGTGGGGGGGAATTCTTCAAAATATGCCACTTGAATAAATGTGGACGGTTAGTTTCACCTTGTGACGGGAATAAACATTTCCATAAGTTCTGGAACCTTCTTGATTATTCTGTATGCACACAGAGCTGCCTTTTTCCTGGAAATATCAAACATTTTCAGTATTCCAAGTTTTGGAGGATTATCCAGCATTCACTGTACACGCAATATCCGCACAAAATTAAAATTATTATTATATATAAGATCATAAAACATGATTTGATAACTTGATTTTAACCTTGAATGATTCTTAGCTTTTTGGAAGAGAAAATGATTTAAGAAAACAAGTACACAAAGTAAATGTTAATTCAGCCGTTTTAGTAGTTCTTTTTTTCAGTGTTTCGGATCCGGATCCGGATCCGTATCATTTGGTCGGATCCGGATCCGTATCAGGAAACGTTGATAAGGATCCGGGTAGCGCCAAAAATTAACCAAAACCATGGAATAAATAAATCAAAATGGTTCGTAAATGTATTATTTACATGACGAAAATTTTTCAAAATTATCTTTAATAATTTAATGTTTACATTTATATAATAGTGATGACGACATTTTTAACTTTAGGATTACTATAGTTCATAAATTATAACCTTGCATAACATTTAATAGGGAAAATCCGATTCACAGAATCAAGTTACCTCGGATCCGGACCCGTATCAGGATCCGGATCCATCATCACGGATGCGGATCCGCGGATCCGGATCCGAATCAAAATGATATGGATCCGAAACACTGCTTTTTTTAACAGGCCGAATCAGTGATCTAACTTCTGCTGAAAGTTCTAATTGCTGAAGATTGAAGATACCTTATGTATGCATTTGAAGATTTGATCAACTTCTCAACTTCTGGAGCAAGATCTCGAGCCATATCTCCGGAGGCTATTGAACCAAGAGTACACAAAGCTAAACCCTGAGTAAGAAAGCCTTATTAATTATCTCCTCAAATCCTTGAATGTCTAAACTTTATTTAATGAGATCTTTATTAGAACGATAAATTTGTTCGTTTCGACAACAATGGGCTTTAATGCCATATTTTCTTACATGTAATTGTAAACTGCCTTTTCAAAGCAAAATAAAAACCGTTCATTGGTTAATTTTATTCTAAATAGATTTAGAACTATCTAACCTGAACAAATTGTGTGCTACTGTTCAAATCTGTCTTGATGCAGTGAATGAGAAGAATATTTACGTCATGCTTCTCGTCCAAGAGCAGCATAGCGCCCAGGTAGCCTATCCTCTTGTCCGTGAACTTATGACTGGCGCAGAGCTTGAGACACTCCATCTGACCGAAGTGAGCAGGGTATCCCAGCATGTGAATGTAGAGAAGTTTAGCAATATTTCGACATCTCCACATTGTGTCCTCTTCTCTTATAGCGTGGCGTATATACGCACACTCCTGCGTAGAAATATATGGTTTCCGTTTAGTAGTTGACTTTTTATTATACTTGATTTTAAGCATTCATTATTAGCTCCAACCCCATATTGTTCCTCATTTTACAATTTTGATTTATCTAAATTCTCATTCGCTTCTATATTAATCATTAACCCCATTATGATGTCCTTGAAATAGAAATTCGTTATTTATTAGGTTTGTTAACCTATTTAAGAAGTTAGTTCCCCTCTCCCCTTACCAATTTTTGTAATTGTTAAATGATTAAACTTTACTTTAAGTGAATGATTTTCTGACCTTATTTATGACAGCCCTCTCTTCTGCGGCAGTTCGGGCAGCCCTGATTTGACGAATAAGGTCGCGCAGGCGCATCGGAGTCGGCATTTTAACCCTATTAAAAAATCATGGATTAAAAACAAGCAAATTATTGATGATTGAAAAAAAAATTATCACATTTTTGGGTAACAATTACGATATTGTAGAGGAACGTTTGTGAGAAAGCAAAAGAAGTAGAACTAGGTTTAGCAAGTTCGACTATATTCCTGTTCTGGTTTATGTTGATTTAACCAGTAAAATGGAAGAGATTGAGCTAAACTAGACACCTATTTCATTAATTTACATGCTCTAAAATCAGACATTTAATAAGAGATTTAATTCAGAACTTTTCTACAGAAATGAAAATTTTCATGAACAAAATTTTGACACAAATAAATATTGGGATAATGAAAACCTGTCGACAGCATCTGTGACCATCTGTCGAGCATTGTTGATAAGGTCGACAACCTTCGCAGTGTCAGCCATGTTTATAGTTCCCCTCGGGGGTTTCTCGGAGAATCTGAAATAAGTATAGAATGTTAATTATTCATTTGAAAAAATAACATTGAAAAAAAACGCACAAAAACATTTTAGCAAATTCTTGGAGAACGATTTTAAGGCCCCATCCCCTCCCCCACTCATGTCAATTTTGAACATGGATCTCATATTTGTATAATCGATCATGTGGCCGCAGGATAAAAAAAAAAACAAATCACATTGAGATAAATACCAGAAAAACCTAGTCCTAACCCTAAGTAATACAAAAGTAAACAGCTGGCGTAGGTCCGATATTGCAGTAGGTCGGAAAGTTGATAAGTCGGAAGTTCAGTAGGGGGATGTTGCGTATAGACGATGTGACATTACCAAGAATAACACAAAACAAAACGCAAATAACATCGAGATAAAAAGAATCAAAAATAAGGTTTAGATTTAAATTTTATCCATGAAGCTTCAGTGAAATCAGTAGGGTCTGTCCTAGTATACGATTTTTGGACCCCCCCGAGCCCCCCCCCCCTCCTATCAATTTTGTACATGACCATTTATTTTTCAGCAAATTTATTACTATTTATTTTTTTGTTATTTAGGGTTAGGTTAGGTTAAGATACTTTCTGGGCCGAGCGCTGCGGCTAGGATGGGCTAGGGGGCCGAGCGCTGCGGCCACGGGTTAGGTAAGTTAAGACACTTTCTGGGCCGAGCGCTGCGGCTAGGATGGGCTAGGGGGGCCAAGCGCTGCGGCCACGGGTTAGGTTAAGTTAAGAAACTAAAAAAACAATTTCTTAGACGTTCTACCATAGGTAGAACCATAGTCACACTATGGTTATGCTTTACCAGAGTAGTGTAGATAGATAGATACGACCTTTAGTTGTACCTATGGTAACATGAATTAGAAATCGGCCTCTTGTCAGACCCATGTACAAAATTGATAGGAGGGGGGGGGTCCAAAAATCGTATACTAGGAGATTACCAATCAGTATTTACACAACCGAAAAAAACCTAAGTTACACCAATGCTAGAAACAGCCGGGTCTGGAGATGACGTTTGAAAATTACAGAACCAAAATGAATCAATCGATGAGAATTATCAAATAAAACAAAATACTGGGTCCGTCCTAGTATACGATTAATTCTCGGACACATCACTTCACAAGAAAAGAACTAAAATATCCTTCGGTTAAGAAAAAGGTAATATAATTCTGTACGCGTATGTTGAATGTATGGCTTTCTCTGCATGAATAGTAAGCTGCAGGATTTAGGTTTGGTCTAAAGAGATGTCGTCTTCACGTTGTCCTTCATGCGGTGCCGTATAAACTGACCTAGATGCTTCTAACCTAGAGGTTTTCTAACCTAAATATCGAGTAGTTTGGACGTGTTTTAGGTTGGTTTGGTTGAAAAAAGCTTTAGGTCCGTTTGGCATCCTTTTAGAATTATAGGTTTTCCGACCTAAGATTAAGATATACAGGGTGTCCCACGAAACGACAACAAGACGACTTGAAAGTTGTCTTTGGTATTTGAATTTATTTGTGACATTTAGTATTCTATCTACTTTAACATGTATGATTCTTGAAACAACTATCACATAATTCAAGTCGTCCTGCACTGTCATGTTTCGTGGGACACCCTGTATTTTAGGTCGGTTTACCAGGAAGTTTAAGTTGTGTACTCAGAGGCGTAAATAAGGATTCTGTATAGGGGGGGGGGGGGAATTTGTATTATGTGGCGCGCTTCCGATTTTTGTTTTACCACCCTAGCTAGAAAAATATCATGATGTACAGGGTGTCCCACATCATATTAGACCGTCAACGGGTCCAAATTGCGATTTTCGGGACTGATAAGAAAATTTAATTAGAATGAATCAATTTGAAAAATAACAAGGCTTATATAAGAATATTCTTGCGGAAAATGATAAGTTTTTCGAGTATTAAGGGTTTATTTTGTCGTTATAAGGATTAGAGATAATCTAATATGATATGGGACGCTCTGTATATCAAATTATTGGTTATAGTTAGGTTTGATTTGCTTTTTCCACTCATTTCTGGCATTTACAAACTCCATCAATAAACGACGTTTATTGGATGAAAACGCAATTAATAGCTTCGGAAATGGGAGCGAGTAGACCGAGTCCTACCTATAGCACCACGCAGTGTTAGACCAAAAGGGTTAACTAACCCTTAACTAATAATTTTTTTGGTTATGAGCTGGATGGTTTCTAGTCAGTACAACTAAACTTTTTATTAGGAATTTTTTAAACTCAATTTTGAAGAAATTTCTATCGGGAATATTGAGCAAATCAATTTTTAAAATATTGTAAAAATCAAATATGCATTTTAAGGTATAAACACAAACACATCTTCAGTTTCAAGACTTAAAATTAGCAGCTTTATTTTGCGATATTTTTTGAACCGTTAATGGCAGGGTTCCAACATTTTTTGAGTTGATCCTTACCAGTTTTAAATGTTTTACCAATAAATCAAAGCCTTCAGTGAACTGTACGACTGTTTCAGAAATGCATAAAACGGTTTTTTTGAGGAATGCTCAACACTCGTCGGGATCGTCTGCCACTGAGATATTCACATTTCAATGTTAATGCACTATTCAATAGAACTGTGGAGGAGTACTGCACAATAACTTAATTTCACCCCAGAAATAATAAATCCAGTACTTGTATATAAGTACGGTTTAAATAAATTTTTTAGTGATGCTACGGTGATAACCAGATAATAATGGATTAGAAAGACGACATTATAGCAATACTATAAGTGTATTTGATGGTGGACCCTTATAAAATTACTTATTTTTGTGAAATGGGTCTTTTTACACTGCAAAATTGCTGTGTTTTGTCATCATTAAATTTTTTTAAGTTAAAACTTGATTCTAAAAGTCCTCTTACTAAATTCCAGAGTTTTCTGGTTATCACTGTATATTGATCAGACTAATAGCCGATTGGATTAATTGGATTGACGTACAATTGAACTAAAGTCAACTATTCACAAACTGGGTTTTAGTCTATTAATACATAATTAAGTTCATTATCTATAAATGAACGTTAGTCCAATTGATATGACACCGTTTTAGGGGGAAGTGAACTGTATTTTATACAGAGCGTCCCATATCATATTAGATTATCTCCAATATTTAACGCCAAAATACGTACATAATAATCGAAAAATCTAGCATTTACTGCCAAAAAAAAATTTCAATTAGCCTTATTAAATTTTTCAAAATGATTAATTCTTCTTAAATTTTCTGATTTGTCCCACAAATCGTACTTTAGACCTATTGACTCGGTCTAATTTGATGTGGGACACCCTGTAGGTTGGGAAGTGGTAAAAACTAAATATTGTACGTTGAAAAGTAATTTCAGATTTCATAAAATGTTTTAGGTCGGGAGAATGGTAAGAACTGAATATAGTTGAAAACCTGATAAGTTAAAAAGTTTATTACACTCATTACACTTTACAATTACATTACATGTTTTAGGTTGGGAAGTGAATACTGAATACTACTGAAGTGAATACTGAATACTACTGAAGTGAATACTGAATACTACTGAAGTGAATACTGAATACTCGAGGTTGGGAAGTGAATATACCGAATACTACTGAAGTCAATACTGAATACTCGAGGTTGGGAAGTGAATATACCGAATACTACTGAAGTCAATACTGAATACTCTAGGTTGGGAAGTGAATATACCGAATACTACTGAAGTGAATACTGAATACTCTATAGGTTGGGAAGTGAATATACTGAATACTACTGAAGAGAATACTGAACACTCAAGGTTGGGAAGTGAATATACTGAATACTACTGAAGTGAATACTGAATACTCTATAGGTTGGGAAGTGAATATACTGAATACTACTGAAGTGAATACTGAATACTCTATAGGTTGGGAAGTGAATATACTGAATACTACTGAAGAGAATACTGAATACTCTAGGTTGGGAAGTGAATATACTGAATACTACTGAAGTGAATACTGAATACTCTAGGTTGGGAAGAAGTTGGAACTGTATACTTTAGGTTTGAACTGGGTAAAAAATGAATAATCTTAAGTTAAAATTTGTTTTAACTAAAATTTATAGGTTTAAAAGTGTAGGGAGTGTAGGTTTAAGGTAAAAGACTTGTTTACACCTCCCCTCATATTCGATATGCTATGTTGGAAAGAGAATGAAACTGAACGCAAGGGGTTTTACATTTTTGTTAAACCTAATCCTAAATTGCAATAGGTTTTATGAAAAGATGATGAACCCGATGTGTTTAATCAAAAACTACATAACAGCATAAATTGATCATACTGATTCTGAACAGCTGGGAACATACGTCGATTATCTGAAACATTATCACAGAAACAGAAAACATAACAAAAAATACATGTTTCCATTAACAACAAATACATAACATACAGAAACAAATATCAAATAAGCTTGTTAGTTCATTTATTAATCGAAAACAAATATTAAATTTCCAGAAGAACGACACGCACAGTAGGATCAGATTTAAATAAATAAACAAGAAAGTAAAAAAATAATAATAAAAAGAATTAGAGATAAGTAGAAAACACAAAGATTAATGGGTGGGAGGGATTTTCTCCGAATTCTTCAAACAGCAGACACATGTAAATTCAATTAACCGCTACTGTTTGTCTACTTGTAAACTTGTAATTTAAAATAGCCTTGTTATTACTGAAGGGCATCATTCAAAGTTTTTAGGCTTTTTAAGTCTTCACAAGAATCTGAGATGCAAATCCGTTTCCAAATTTACATGCTAGACAGGTTTGATTTTATTATACGAAGCAAAATTTTTCAAATCGTTATGGTTAAAATCTATGATCAGAGTAAAAATATTGCTGTGTGCGAAAAATAACTAGTCTAGCATGTAATTTTTAAATAGGATTTGCATCTCAGATTCTTGCAAAGCCTTTAAAAAGCCTGAAAACTTTTTTAAGAACATATCTTAAAACGATGCCCCTCAGTAATTGTTAGGTAACAAAGCACTTTAACTGAACAGTCGTCTTATTGTATTGATATAATGGCCGACCAACTGCAGTTGAAGGAATTGACTGTGCTAGATATTTAGGGAGAATATTATTCTAATAAGACATAATTTCTTTGTGTGTCTAATCAAAATAAATAAATTTGTGCTTATTAACCATGTAATGAAGGGAGAATACGAAAAATAAAACATCGTAATTTTAAAAATATGAAGAACAAGTTTTGAAAATTAATAAAAGAAAAAAAGAAGTCCTGCAAGTTGCTGAATTTAAGATTATCATGTTTTGTTCTCAAAGACTGTAACATAAAACTGTTATGCTCAAAACACAATATTTGAAAAGAAAATCTTAAGAAAAAGAAAAAAGGTACATGATAAAAAGACAGTAGTTTTTTCAGCCAATTCATTGATTTACACAAACTTAGTTAAGTAGATCATTGAACTTGTATATTGTACACTACAGTGTTGTACAATAATCAAGCCATAGTTTTCAATCAGTTTAGAGGATTCTTGAACGACAGAAAGATACATTTAGCTTAGACGAAAACCATTTTACACTGTACACTGTACACTGTACAGTATATACCATGTACAGATGACAGAGTACACTGTAAAGTTTACGATATGATATCAACACACTAGTACATTGAACATATTTTTTATATAATAGATTGTTTTAATACATATAAAACTATTCTAAATGTACAAAGATTTATTATATTACACACATGGCGTTTAAACATACATAATTACTGTACAGAGTACATAAAGCAAGATCATTAACATTGATAAAAATTAAACAAAAAAGTTGATTGTGTAATAATCTGTTTGGTGTACACTGAAACGTGAATAAAAATGAAAGTGAATTAAATAAAAATGAATGTTTTTAACAAAAATAAATAGAATATAAGCATGAGTGAATGGACACAAATTAAGAATGTAACGCATGGCAAATAGTGTCCAAATAAGTAAAAAATAAACAACCCGCTAAATTTTGAATAAGGTCGAAGAAACCTGATAATATAAAATTCATTTTCGCGCTAATTTTAATATTCTGTTTGTGTTAAAGAATAGGGTTCAAAGGGTAAGGTAAGGTTACCTAGTAATAACTACTCAGAAAGATGTTTCTACTATAAATTTAAACAAAGTTTGGATACCTACTGTATTATACAAAATTTCAGGTTCTTAATGTTCGATCAGTCTTCTCAACTCCTGAAATATAAATAAATACATATATGTATTATATAAATATAAATAAATATAATAAATGTTCTGTTGGGTTTGTTTCTGTATCCGCAAATCGTAAAAACGGCTGGAGTGATTGGGTCCAATTTTTTTTCTGGCAAATTATATGCCAATCAAAACAGAAAAATCTAGGAAATAATTTATTTTTTTAGTGTACGAGGAACAATTTGTTTAATTACTATAAAAAAGGGGACAAAGCGTCCTAAAAGTAAAGTATTATTAGGACCCTTCTTAAATTGAGAAGGAATACTTTAAAACTAACATCCTGGAATTTATGAACCATTCCTATCTTCAACAGAATATCATGAACCCATCATGGTAACAAAATAGCTTACGGTCTGACAGTACACCTTCAACCCTCCTTACCTTAATCAGGAAACTTTTATTCTTTAACCATCCTTACCTTAGACAGGAAACCTTGGATTCTCCTAAAATCTAATAGGAACCCCTAGATCCTTCTAATTACTCCAAAGGGAGAATCTTGATCCTCCTAAACTCCAAAAGGAGACCCTGGATCCACCTGAACTCCAAAAGGAGACCCTGGATTCTCCTGAACTCAAAAAGGAGACCCTGGATGGTCATAAACTACAAAGGGAGACCCTCGATCCTTACAAACTCCTAAATGAGACCCTGGATCCTCCTAAACTCTAGAAGGAGACCCTGGATCCTCCTAAACTCTAGCTGGAGACCCTGGATCATCCTAAACTCTAGAAGGAGACCCTGGATCCTCCTAAACTCTAGCAGGAGACCCTGGATCCTCCTGAACTCTAGAAGGAGACCCTGGATCCTCCTAAACTCTAGAAGGAGACCCTGGATCCTCCTAAACTCTAGAAGGAGACCCTGGATCCTCCTAAACTCTAGAAGGAGACCCTGGATCCTTCTAACTCCAAAAGGAGACCCTGGATCCTCCTAAACTCTAGAAGGAGACCCTGGATCCTCCTAAACTATAGAAGGAGACCCTGGATCCTCCTAAACTCCAAATGGAGCCTCCTGAACCCCGAACCAACTATTTCAATACCTGAAGTAATAGTACCCTCCTGCCAGAAACATGGCCAGCCCGACACAGAAGGGAAGGATCGTCTCCTTCATGTTCTGCTTCCTTGACACCCAGGCCTCGCTCTCCTTCATCTTCTCCTAAATCAGAAATACAATTTAAATCACAAATTCTCTTGAGAATCAACAAAATCCGAAAACAATATTAACAGGCATTTTAGAGCCTAACAACTATTATAAACCCAGAGATAAGAGAGTAACATAAATCTATTTAAAACTAGAATATGCGATATTTTCCACAACAGGTTCCATTGTGTACAACTGGAGTACACGACCAATAAACAGACGTCTGTATTCAGGGATATTTAAGGATCCTTTGGATACGAAATACAAAACCTTCAAAAATAGTCTAAATTCACAAAATTTATGTTTTATGTTAAAAGTTGAAGTATTTATTAAAAAATTTGTAAATTTGCAACAAATAGCCGTTAGATGGCAGTCAAAAAACCTTTCATGGAACTGTAGCATGGCGTACCGGGGCACTATAGGCCTGCTTCTCCTATCCATGCAGAGCTTATGAGCAGTACATGTGTTAGTCTGTGTATAAACCCCAATCCTTAAATGAGGTGTGTCTTATCCTTTCTTGAACCCTAGATGGGACCAAACCATCCAAATCAATAAAATATAATGTTTAACCTGTATTTTCCTCAGCTTTTCTTCAGTATTCGCTCTCTCATCTTCCTTCTTTCGTCTTCGCAATTCCATTTCCCTGTATATTAATTTGTTAAGTTTTTTTAATACTGTTCTACCTTCCCATCTAAGTAAAGATTTCCGTTTTTAATAAAAATGGGTAAAATAAAGGATTTTTTGGGGTGACCGTTTAAAAAAGGAAAGAAAAAACTTGCCAGAAGATGTCAATTTCCCCTGTAAACCTGCGAAAGTTCCCCCCCAATTTAAATTCTTAAAATCTTCTACCTCTTAAACTTTGGCTTTATCCATTCCGATTAAAATATTTGAAATGAAGATTAAAATATTCAGTTATATTTCCAGTTTGATTAGAAAATAATCTCAAAACTCTCACCTTTTCCTCTCTTCTAGTTTATTATTGTTTAGAATACATTTAGCTGGGGAATCCATGGCAGCTGGAGTAGAGGGAGAACTAGGATCAGAACTTGGCTCTGAATCTAGACTCACTGAACAGTTTTAAATAAATTAGAATTTAGAACATAAGAAATTCAAGAAGAGTTACTAACGAAGGATGAGACTTCATAGACGACTGTACAGAATTTAAACTGCCTGTTTCCTTACATTCATTATTCCCTGCAACTGTAAACTTGTTTATTTTTTGCCAAATCATTATATAAGCCAAAAAAGGCTACATTTAAGGCAGAACACTTGAAATCGTCGTATCTAAAGAGTTTCAAGTCGTCTTCACAGTCTAACCCTTAGTAGGTAACCCAGTAGGTACAGAGTTTAGTGTCTAAGCTAAGGATTTACTGGTGTTTGTTCAATGTAGATTGTATATTGTCTTTTTTTAAGGAAAGCAGACAGTCTAGAATCAAGGCTGTTGGTTAAATAAGTCCATGAATTGTTAAACATGCATAATATCAATCCATGTTCGGTTTGAAAACATTCTCATGACATACAAATAAGCTGAATTAGCACTAACCTACTCCGTTAACGACGGAGTACACAAACTCCGCATCTCCGTTGACAAGAGACTCAAGAGTAGCTGGAATACTGGAGAACGGATCATCTATCTTCTTCTCTACACCTTTCTCCTGGTAAACAAATATCAATACAAAGAATAACTGAACGCAGTTTTCGCTCAACTTTCCAGCAATAATCTTTTAGCGGTAAAATTTAACAAATAATTTTCTTGCATATTATCAGCCATCAAAGGGACAGTGCTCCTAATATAAGTGACCCTCCATAAAAAGATGTCAATGTCCGTTTTATAACGGTACCCTTGAAACATTTATCTGCTCAGTAATATAAAGGATATAGCAGTTTTTATAGCTTTAAGAGGTATTTATTTTGTATTTTTTTTCTCCCCTGCAGTAGAAATGCGCAAATCTAGAGAAAATTGAAAATAATTTGCTTTCAATCTTTTAGACTTTGATATAAACATTGATCAAACAAAGGTTTTCATGATACCGTTGTGAATTCAATTTGACAAATACTTCCCTTGCATATAATTGGCGAAAATTGGGACCGTATCAAACATTGGGTCCAAGCCAAGTCCCACACACAATTCTATTCAGTTCTAGCGGTTTATATTTAAAACAGGAATTAAATATGTTTGCGTTCTGCGCAAACACTTCTAATTAAAGGGTTTCTTCGCTAAATCTGACAAAATGAATGTCTTACAGGGGGGGAGGGGTTAATTGACTTTTTTTGGAAAAGTATCAAAAAGAATGACAAAATAGCCCTTTTGATGTCCAATTTTTCATTCCCCACCCCCCACAAAAAAAAAAAAAAAAAAATACGCTAGGGGGGGGGGGGGGGGGGGGGTACCTGTAATGATTCTGAACGAGGAGGAGGAAGAGGAGGCGGTGCTTCATCATCACTAGAACTAGAACTGATGAGCTCCGAGCCAGGATCAGATAAATCTAGTTGACTGCTGATTAATCCACTCTGTCGAGCTCCCTATCAATCAATCAATCAATCAATCAATCAATCAATCAGGCTTTTTGAGACACCCTATGACCACATCAAAATCTCATCATGACTTATACTAATATGAGATTTGAATAGGGATTTACAATTCGCGAATGAAGCTATTTAGTCATTTTAATGACAAAATCATTTCAAGATAAACTCCAAAATAAGTTTTTCATCGTAATCAATATGGCGCAAATCAAGTCAGTTAAACATTTGATGAGGAACAATAAATTTTTTTTTCGCAATTTTTTGCTCGCAACGGCTTTATTAAAAAGTCCACAAGTCACTTCTCAGGTCGCGACCACATGGGTCAATATTCAATAATATCAAAACTAACAACTCTTGTATTGGATACCCTTTAATCCTGATTTCTTTATCACTTATCCACTATTGACACTTTTGATTTTATGCTTAATCCTCTCTTTCGGATTTCCTTGCTGGATTACAGCCAATGAGAGATCTCTCATTGATTGAGCGTGCAAAATTTCAAAATTTCTAGACTTCTGATGGGCTGTTCGAGTTCTGCAATCAACATTGATCGGTTGAATTCTATAAAATTTCCAATAAACAAAATAAAGCTTAGATAATTTAGAGATGAACAAAAAGCGGAGATAAAGCATCTCTCATAATACTTTACATTTTATTTTTATGCTTAAATCTGTTAAATTTTTAATGAAATCATTATAATAAATTAAGAAAAATGTTTCTCATTTCTTAATTTTTTTTTGGAAATCAGGGAAATTTATGTTTATGCTGATTTTTAAAATTACAATTGAAAGTTCAAAGTCCCTCGTTTTTGAACCAGTAATACGCAATACGCACCATGACGTCACATAGTACACATTTGTTTCGGAAACTGAATAAAGATATTCATTCATGGTCGGAAAAAAACTCAAGTAAGTTTATAACGTTTAGGATGAAAAATCGTGGAAATCTTATTCAGGCAAACTTATGAAAGATTAAAGTCTGAATTGAAGTACTTTGTAAAAACACTAACTATTACATTGACAATATTTATTCTAAAATCTCCCCCCCCCCCTCCCTCCCTCTGACTAAATAATAATGTTTATAATATTGAAGGTTCCGGAATTTCCAAGAATCGAGCATTTAATCCGATTTCTAAGAATTTAAAGAACTCATTTTTTATTTAGTAAAATAAAATTTTGCCGGGCCTTCAAATTTTTTTGCCGTGCCTTCAAAGCGTATGTCAACTGACTCACGGGCCCCGTTTACCCAGCATGGCCCTCCGGACGGATGTCAAAGATTTGTCCAATTTAACGTAACAAAATTAAAATTAAATAATATTTTATCAATGTCAAAGCTGCTTCAAACATAAAACATTTAGTTAATGTTAAGTAAATTTTATTGTGAATTATATTTAGAATAATGTAGATAAAGCTCTATGTTCACAATTTGAATTGAGTTCATCAATAGAAACAACAATTATCAACCAAAGACAACAATTACTAACCGAATACTAGAACTACCAAACAATGACTACAATTATCAACCAAAGACCAAAATTACAAACCTATAACAACAATTACCAACAAAAGACAACTATTATTACCCCATGACAACAATTAACAACCTAAGACAACAATTACCAACCTAAGATTACACTTCAGGAAAAAAATATGAGCATTCATTGGGTTTGGGGAAAAAAATTAAGGAAAAAGGAAAAGAGGGAAGGGGAAAAGGGAAGGGAAAAGGAAGAGAAAATGGGAAAGAGGGAAGGGAAAAGGGGGATAGGGAAGGGAAGAGGGGAAGAGGGAAGGGAAAAGAAGAGGGGAAGGAAAAAGGGGAAGAGGCAAGGGAAAAGGGGCAAGAGGGAAGGGAAAAGGGAAGAGGTGACGAGAAAAGGAAAAAGGGGGAAGGGAAGGGAAAAGGGGGAAGAAAGAAGGGAAAAGAGGAAAGAGGGAAGGCAAAGGGGGAACCCCCCCCCCCGCAACAAAATTCTTCGAAGTTTTCGCGGGCTTCAGAAACCTCTAAAATACACCTGTTTTTTAAGACGTGGAGTAAGAGAAAAAATATGATTCTGAAAAGCGGAGAGGGCCAATAATATGAGTCTCACAACTAATATACACCCCTGTACAATTACTAACCAAAACAACAATTACCAACCAACGACAACAAATAACAACCTCAGACAACAATTATCAAATAAAGACAACAATTACTAACCGAATACGAACTACCAACAGCTATGACTACCATTACCAACCAAAGACCACAATTACAAGCCTAAAAACCAATTAGCAATCTATAAAAAAAATTATCAACCTAATTTAAGAATTACCAACCCAAGGCAACAATTAACTTAAGACCAACCAAACAATTACCAACCTGAGACTACAATTACCTACCAAAACAACAATTACCAATCAAACAGAACAATTACCAACCTAAGACCACAATTACCATTACCAACCTAAGACCACAATTAACAATAACCAACCAAAGACAACATTTACTGACTTAAAACTACCTGTCTTTAACTATCAGTTTAGATCTGTACATTTTTGTTTTTGAGATCCTAGTTCATAAAAGTTAGAAAATCTAATTTCATTTGGCAAGTTCCATAGGATTGGACATTTGTAGCGGCACCATCTGCAAAACTTTAATCCAAAATTGCTTTTAAAATTAGGTTTAAAAGCGTCGTCTGCGGACGGTAAAATATATTGCGTTCTTTAGTGTCAAATACCAAGTACAGAAGAGAAAACGCAAAAGGTGAAAAATTTAAATAAAAAATTACCTCAATTATAGATAAATACGTGAACTTTAGCTGGTCCTCCGTCTGTATCAAACCCATCCTACATTAAATTGTCCATAATCGTTGAAAAATTTACGATTTAAATCAACAGATCAGAGAACTGATACTTGTAAATGTAGAATTTTCGTCGGTCGGATCTGAAAATTTATTATTTAAAACAATTTTGAGCAATGGCACTTGGTTGGGGTTATTAGGAACGCTTTAACCCAGCTTGTACAGCAGAAGAAAAATATTTTTGTCCCTGTACATTCATTTGAGTTTAAAGTTCAGCTTGTCTTCGAAACCTTGAAAACTATCAACATTTTTCTCTTACTTTTTCACGTTGATAAACTAGTTCTGAACTAACCTGTAAGTTCTCATATTGAGGAGGGTTTGCTTGATATTAACACTATCAGGACCCTCCGTCTCAGCTCTTAGTAGACACGAGTCCACCAGGATAAATGACCCTGACCGCCCGATACCTGAATTATCCCAAGGTCAAACTTTGGGTAACCTGTAATGTCATAAATGGTAAAACTTGATTCCTTGATTTTAGGAGAATTAAAATAAGCAGAAATTGAGTAATTTGTCTCAAAAATTACAATTTTAATGATGTAAAATGGTTGAAATTGAAAAGAGTTATTTGTAATGTATGACCACTCTCTATCATGATTTTAACGTTACGCCTTGGAAAGATATTTTAAATCCACGAATATATAAAGTCTATTTTTTTTTTTGGAGAAAATTACTTACAAATATTAAGAATCTAGAAAACATTTAAACAGACTAATAAAAATAATAATAATAAATAGATAGTAATGATATGTCGGAGGGAAAAAGGTGCAAAACTATGGGATATCTCCTGATGTTTAAACAGACTAATAAAAATAATAATAATAGATAGATAGTAATGATATGTCGGAGGGAAAAAGGTGCAAAACTATGGGATATCGCCTGATGTTTAAAAATACAATGAAAACAATTTTTCCACTTTTTTTCTTTTAATTACAAAACTTGGCTAAAGAATTTATAATTTGCGACTATTTCTAGTTCATTGACATAACTCGTGAAGTACTTGACCGATTTGCCTCAAATTTTGATTGGGAAACTGGGTATAAAAGATCTTCGCTTCGCTTCTGAGCTTCGTTTAAAAATTCAAAATGTGGGTTCCAAAGCTAGTATTGCATAGAACTATGGGAAATTTTTGATAAACAAAGACACCATCCTTATTTATTTCTTACAAGCTGAAGGGCCCGGCGTTGCCCGTGGGAAAAAAATTTGAAAAAAATCTATAGAAGAATATACTGACCTGCAGAACAGTGTACAATAGCGGGGCCAACATCTTGCTCCAGACTACCAGAATCACGTACAGCACCTGTACAGTTTAAGTACAGTGTATTGTGTTTACAAGCTACGTTAGATTACATATGGTTCAGTAAATAATACAAATGCTACCACTTCGTTTTTTAAGGTCTGGAAGTCCCTGCATTAAATTAAATATTCTTAGTTTGTTTAACAAATTGTGGGGGATACATTTCTTCACGAAATTAAAATAGATGATTGAGGTGTTTGAGGGCGCTCCCCCGATGGCGGTCTAGGTTCTCCAACCTGGGGTGGGGGGGGGCTTTCATATCTTTCCTGATACTCCTGAATTCGCTGCCAGGGAATAAATGAAAAGGCACAGAACTGTGAATATGCATTATGCAGTTCCTTGTTGTTTATTTTTCATCAAATCCTTCAAGCTGACATATTCCACTTAGAATATTGGATAAATGCATTTAAGCAAATAAGTTCATATTTATGAATCCTAGTTTATTCGTGAAAGATTGGAGCAGAATGTTTATTTTTATTAGAACATTCAATTAAAAGTTGTTTTTACATGAAAATGTATTAGAACCGGGAAAATATTAATAACTCTAAAAATGTATCAAGAGAGGTAGAAACTAAGTCTAGAAATTCATGAGTATAGAATCTAAGCTATCAAATCTAGAAATTGATGAGGAGAGGTTAAAACTAGAGAAATTATCAAACGAGACCTAGTGATTAGCCTAAAAACTCTTGAAAGGTTCAGGAGAGGTAAAAACTAACCTAAAAACTCTAGAAATGTCTCGGGAGAGGTAGAAATGTATCAAAAGAGGTAGAATCTAACCGAAAAACTCAATAAATGTACCATGAAAGGTAGAATCAAACATAAGAACTCCAGAAATGTACCAGGAGAGGTAAAACCTAACCTGAGACTCTAGAAATGTATCAAGAGAGGTTAAAACAAACCCAAGAACTCTAGAAATGTATCAGGAGAGATAGAAACTAACAACATAAGAACCCTAGAAATGTATCAGGAGAGGTAGAAACTAACTTAAGAACTCTAGAAATGTATCAGAAGAAGTAGAAACTAACAACATAAGAACCTTGGAAATGTATCAGAAGAGGTAGACACTAACTTAAGAACTCTAGAAATGTATCAGAAGAGGTCAAACCTAATCTGAGACTCTAGAAATGTATCAATAGAGGTAAAAAAAAACAAAGAATCCTAGAAATGTATCAGAAGAGGTAGAAACTAACAACATAAGAACCCTAGAAATGTATCAGGAGATGTACAAACTCTAGAAATTATCAAGAGAGGAAAACACTTACCCAAGAACTCTAGTAATGTATCGGGATAGATAAAAACTAACCTAAGAACCCTAGAAATGTACAGGAGATGTACAAACTCTAGAAATTATCAGGAGAGGTAGAAACTAACCTAAGAACTCTAGTAATGTATCGGGAGAGGTAGAAACTAACCTAAGAACTTAGTAATGTATCAGGAGAGGTAGGAACAAACCTAAGAACTCTAGAAATGTATCAGGAGAGGTAGGAACTAACCTAAGAACTCTAGAAATGTATCAGGAGAGGTAGAAACTAACCTAAGAACTCTAGTAATGTATCAGGAGAGGTAGGAACTAACCTAAGAACTCTAGAAATGTATCAGGAGAGGTAGAAACTAACCTAAGAACTCTAGTAATGTATCAGGAGAGGTAGGAACTAACCTAAGAACTCTAGAAATGTATCAGGAGAGGTAGAAACTAACCTAAGAACTCTAGAAATGTATCAGGAGAGGTAGGAACTAACCTAAGAACTCTAGAAATGTATCAGGAGAGGTAGAAACTAACCTAAGAACTCTAG